AGGCAGGCAGGCAGGCTGGCTGGCTGCTGGAGGGGTCAGCAGGAACATGCCAGAGACACAACAGGGGCAAGCACGTGGAAGAGCTCCTACCAAGCCCGAGCAGCCAGGAGCAGACGCGGGCAAGGGGGTAGACCCTGGTGATGGACAGCAGCAGGAAGGGGGCCAGGGCCCTGCTCGAAGCCTCCTCCCGCCCTCCTTGTCCACCCCCGGGTCTCACTGGGGCTGCAGGGGACCCGACATCACAGGGCTGAAGAACACAGCAGTGTCTTCTGGAAGCTCTCCCCTCCCTATGTGTTCAATAAGGGCCTCCACTGGCCCGCTCACAGCCACTGGAAGAATTCCTGAACCAGGTTCTCACAGTGCCCTCCAGAGGCTCCAGCAAAGTCAAGGACCACCCATGGTGCCCATAAAACCAGCAGAAACACCATGCTCTTGAGATTAATACATCTAAGCCACAAGGCCCCTTCTGTGGAGGGGGGAGCAGCTTTAAAAGGCTGAGCCAGTGTGGCTTCAAGTTGGGCAAGGACCCCAGGGCAGAGAAAGTAACCTGTTGAACCCAAAGTTTCTGCCCCACTGGGGACCTGAGCGCAGTTTGTGGGGAGTCCCGGGGGGCCTGAGCTGCGTGGAAGCACGTGTGATGGGGGTAGAGGTGCGATGCTGCCCCCAGCAAAACCCCCCAAACTCCCTGGCCCCACCACCCACCTTGAGGGAGCGGGACCAGTATCTGGGGAGAAGGGAGGAGTCACAATCTGCGCGCGGTGGGGGTTAAGAGCCTGTCAACAGGCTGCTGCCGTCCCCAGTGAGCGGGGCACACAAGAGCCCCCCAACAAAGTACTGTTATAGGTGAGGAAACCGAGGCACAGAGAGGCTGAAGTGACAGCAGAGTCCACAACAGCAGGCCCCACAGCCTTCACCCAACCACTGCCCTGGATCGGGTCAGAAATCAGGCAGTGGTTCCCAAGCCAGGCTGGACATTAGAACCACCGGTGGTTCATGTAAACATGACCCAGCACCCAGAGCTCCATGCCAGACCTTCCTCATCAGGCTGGGGGTTGGGGGGGTGGTTGGCTGACCAGAGAATGCGTACTGTGAACCAGCTCTCCAGGAGATTCGGATCCTGGGGGGGCCCTGGCCCAGGCTTTCTCACTCAGAAGGGCTCTCTCTGGAGGAAAAGGGGTGCAAAGGCTGCTTTTATCATAATTCTGTCCTCTTATTACCTCTCCTTGCCCCTTCCAGAACAGCAGCAGGACATCCGAACCCACGGGGCCGGGGAATCATTTATAACCAGGCGACACAAGCTAGTGATCATGGGATCAAAACTTTGTACATAATATACTCATCAAAGAAGGCACTGAGTCACAGCTGGGCCCAGGGCGGCTGAAAGGCTGGTAAACAAAGGCTCTGGAAGGCCCCACCCACCCTGACCCCAGGACACTTTTAACTCTTTGCCTCCAGGCCCAGGAGGGAGATTGTGAATGCAGGAACGCCCAAGGGAAGGCAGAGCTGGAAGCAGCCGGCCTGTGGTGTAGACCTGGCCCTTCCAGGTAGGTGCTTTGTGGGGGTGCCCACACTGCAGGCAGTGGCCCTGCACAGAAGGGAGTAGAAAGGCCAGCCCTCTGGTGGCCACGGTGATCAGCTGTGGTTTTCATTTCCCTTTGTGACTACTCTTGGTGACGCCGGAGGGGCTGACAGGGGTCCTGGCACGCGGAGGAGACTGGGCTGAGGTCGACCACCAGCAGGGTGTGGCACGTCAGACTCAGACAAGAGTGGGCTCCGTGCCAGTCTGTGCTGACTGCTTCCCATCCATCACCCCACCCGGGCCTTAAACCATCCCTTTAGATATGTATAGTTTGGCCTACTTTACAGAAGGGGAAACGAAGTCAGGCTCAGAGAGGTTACATAACTTAGCCAAGGTCACCCGGTCAAGAGGAAAAGCTGAAAACCGAACTCCGATGGTCAGACACCCGGGCCCATGCGCTACACCACAACCCCACACCGCCTCCGCCCAGGCTCCTTGAGACCACAGGGGAGACAGCTGAGGAAACTGGAAGCTGGTGGACTGCCGGCTGGGAAACGGGGAACAGGCCAGAGACTCCGCAGGCCCATCCTGGCAGGGAGCTTTCATGCAGAAGCCCTCCTGGCCTCTAGCTGCAGCCGATCAGGGGTTTCAAGCTGAGATTCTAGAATCCCCATGCACTTCCTGATTCACACACACACACACACACACACGCACACCAAGACCTGCCTGGCCGAAGTGAGCAAAGGTATGGGACCACTTCCTGCCCGGGGCTGCCACAGACCCTTTTAGGACACCTGTTGCTGCCCCTTGGAGCACACTCTGCTAATGCACGTGCATGCCTAACAGCGTGGGGAGCGGGTGCCGGGGCTTTGGGGTACTTAACGGGATATGCGAACGCCACAAGTGGGGTCCTCTGGGCCCTACGCCTGCCTCTGCCACTGGACAAGCAGGGGCAGCACCCAGGCTCCGGGACCCTGGCCTGCCCCTCTTGACCAGGGCAGGTGCAGGGACACACACCTGCTTGCAGAACCGCAGGAATCCAATGGAGTAAGTCTTTCCCCAGAGGCAGCACGTGCCGTACATACAGCTGGACCTGGAAGAGACAAGCAGAGAAGAGGTTGGTAGGCAGACAGCCAGGATTAGGGAAAAGGTAGGGCTGGGGGAGGCCACCCTCCCTCACATCCACACAAGCCTGGGTAGAGCGGACTGGGGCTGGGAACAGCGCACAGATCCCAGGCAGCCTTTACCCGGAGGCCAAGCACTCGGGGAGAGCTTGCTCATGCAGGGAGGGCATGAGGGAGCAGGGCTCCACCGGCCCGGAGGGCAACAAACCAACTTGCCAAGTACTGAATGGGAAGAGTGTGAGAGGGAGAAACAGGCAGACAGGAAGGGGTAGGAAGAAAAAGGAGCCAGAAACCGGCGAGGCCGTCCCCAGGGCCCCATGAATGGCGTCCCTCAGGAAGCGAGGAGAGGCACGACAGGGCCTGGTTATGGGCAGAGCTGGTCTGTGTGTCTGGCTGACACCCGGACAGCTCGAAGAACATCAGGCCCAGGAAACGGGGTGGTGTGGGAGGGGCTCCGCGGGGACTTCATACTCACTCGATGGGCTTCCCTCTGATCTCCGACATGATGGAACTTTCTCCCCCGAGGTATTCATAGCACAGGCTCAGGAAATTATAGATGACCAGGGCTGTGGAAAATGTCCAGAGAAAACCACTCAAGCTAACAGGATGGGTAAACAGATGGTGGAATTCTAAACAGCAATGGGAGCGAAAGCACCGCAGTCATGGGGCCTCAGGGACGCAAGGACCCGCACAGCGAATACTCCACTTGTCATCAAAATCAGGCAAAGCGAAGTCATGTTGGGTAGCATAGGCGTACACACGCCGCTGGTCACACCGTAAAGCAACACAAGGAGGTGGGAAGCACAAAGTTCCGGACTGCGTGGGAGGCTGGGGACGGGCTCGCTGGGGGCTGGGGGGGGGCACATTCTGGGGCTCAGCAGCTACTGGCTTTGTAACTGCTTATTCGTTTCAGGCACTTTTCTGTGTGTGTGTGTGTGTGTGTGTGTTACGGATCGGATTTTTACAACAAAACAGTAAAACATTCTTTAGAGGGACCTCAGGAGAAATTTTCGGAGGAATGAGACAGGAGAACCTTTGTCCATTCAACCACCTCGAGTGGCAGGTTGGTGCGCACACCACTGGAGGCTCTGGGAGGAGGTATGAAGGTGCACAAAATAGAGCACAAATGTGTGGGGAAGCCGGGCCAGCCCCCTCTGGATGCAGCTCCGTATCACCCCAGAGACACAACTCTGCGACAGCGATGGACAGCACCAAAGTATGTTATAAATGCAGCAATCCGCTGTGAGCGGTCTCCTGGTCAAAGGATTTCTGCGGGGTCAGCAAGACGAAGGCTGCGGCCTGCAGGGCGCTTGGAGCCCAGGGACGTGCGGGAGCAAGGATGGGGAGAGTGGAAGCAGGAGGAGCGCGGCAGAGGGCGCAGAGGGCGCAGGAGGAAGGGCAGGCCGAGAGCACGGGAACTCAGGAACGTCCAGCAAAGGAGTGAGGGTCCAGATGGGGTCAGGGGACAGGAAGGGCAAGGGAGGAACCAGCGCCCCTGCAGACAGAAGGCTCCTTCTCATCTGACCCTGCCGTCCCCCTGAAGCACAGAGGCCTTCAAGGCTCCCGGTACAGCCCTGAGCTTGGCATTCAAGATTTTTCCAGAGTAATTTGGCCCCTGCCCACCCCTCACACGGCCTTCCTGGCAACTAGATGCCCCTCCTTCCCAGCAGGGTATGATGCCCCCTCTCCGTGCTTTTCCCTTTGCTGATCCCACGGCCTGGGGCGCCCTTCCCTCGGTGTCGCTGGTGCCTGTGAATCCCGTGAGACCCCCTGAGAAGTCTCTGGCCCCTACATGGAAGCTGGTGCATTCTCACACAGGGGACCGCTGATCTGCAGACGCTGTGTGGTGCTTCCTGCCCTGGAGCGTGGCTCGCATGATCCCTGACTGCTCTCTTGGGACTGTGGCCCCTGGAAGGGGGCCCACCTCTTCCCCAGAGCATGGCCACAGCACCTGGCACATACCAGGCACACCATGAATGTGGGACTACCTTGAACTGGAGTGCACACAATCCTGCCGACAGAGCTATAAGCGAATGCTGGCCTTCAGCAATTTGGAAAGGAATATTTCTGAGGTGCTGTATACCTAACCTATTAAGGGCTCACACCTCCAGCTAGGGTGGGGGGCCCCAGGTAAGCACCCTGTATCAACATGGGCCACAGCACCTACCACACTGTGCTGTGACTAAACCTCTACAGACATAGTAGAGGGTCTTTCCCCTGATTAGCTGGGGCCTCTCTGTGCCTCAGTCTTCTTATCTGTTATATGGGGACAACAGAGGTACCTACCTTGCCAGGAGGGTTGAGTACGCAAAGTACTCAGAAGAGTGGCTGGTGCCATTTATCTGCTGGTCTTCCTCAGGGGTCACTGTCCCTTGATGGGGCTGATGACCGTGGATGCTGCCTGCCTGGCACAGAAGCAGCTCAGGACATGGGGGGGGCTGCACAATCTCCACTGAGCTCCAAAGCACTCTTCAGGGACAGGAACTTTGGGGGAAGGGGGGGGGGGGAAGGCATCAAGCCAAATCTGATGTCAGCCTGCTGATAACCTTTGTCCAAAACCACACAAGGCCAAGTAGAATGGATGTGCCCATTCCAAGCCAGGTCCAGCTACACTGGCCAGTGGTACTTTCCAAAGATGGCCACACCCTGGGACACTGGCTCCCCTCTGCGGGGACATAGGGTCTTCCTCCCTCCCTTCGCATCCGGGGGGACCAGCGTGACCACAGCACAAGTGCTACTCCAATGGGGCGCCTGGGTGGCTCAGTCGTTAAGCATCTGCCTTCGGCTCGGGTCATGATCCCAGGGTCCTGGAATCGAGCCCCGCATCGGGCTCCCTGCTCCGCAAGAAGCCTGCTTCTCCCTCTCCCACTCCCCCTGCTTGTGTTCCCTCTCTCACTGTCTCTCTCTGTCAAATAAATGAATAAAATCTTAAAAACAACAACAACAACGACAACAACAACAAAAAACAAGTGCTGCTCCAAGACATCTGACACTGGGCTTAGAGAAGGCCTCTTTCCTCTGGTTCTTTCTCTTGAGATGCCTGCCCTTGGACGCAGCCCCCATGCTTCAAGGAAACCCAAGCCAGCCCACGTGGAGAGACTCCCCAGAGTGGCTCGTGCGGGAGGAACCGAGGCCCCAGCTGATGCCAGCAACAAGTGCCAGACACACGAGCAAACCAGACTGCAGACCCCATCCCCAGCCAAGGGTCCCCCAGCAGAGGCCCAGATGGCAGGGCACAGGGACGGACTATCCACACTGTGCCCAGTCCGAATTCCTGGACTGCACTCTCCATGAACAAAAGAAATGGTCGTTTTACACTACTCTGCTTGGGGTGATTACTGATGCAGCCAGAGTAAATGTATACGTGCACACGTGTGTGTGTGTGTGTGTGTGTGGCTGGTATGTGTATCCATATAATGTGTGTACGTATATACACGTGTGTGTATATCTACACATATATAATGGGTGTATGTATATGCTTGTATATGATATAAAACCATTCCTAGAGTTCCCAGGACGTGCCAAGAGCTCTCACACTCCGTGCTAGCATGTTCCGGTGCCTCTGCTAACTCCCAGGGCAGGCCCTGCTGAGATGCCACCTCTCCCTTGCCAATCCTCTGTCCACTGCCAGGCTCACTCCACGCACCACGACCCCGCTGTTGATCCGGCCGATCCTTCCCGTATAGGGGGCAGCATCATGAAGCAGGGAAGCCACAGGCCCTGGATCCAGACTACCAGGGTGTACAGATGGTGGCTCTACCACTTTGGAGCTGTGTGACCTCAGGCAGGCGTCTTAAGTGCACTGTGCCGTGGCTTCCTCACCTGTAAGCCAGGGATAACAGCAGCTCCTTCCTTGAGGAAAGGCGGAACGTGGGACTCCTTTGCTAAGGCTGAGCTCACACGGAGCAATCCACGGTGCGTTACCTAGTGTTCTTTCCAGACTATAAACTCCTTGCCGGTAGGGACTGAGGCCTACCCCCGACTACCAGAGGGCCTGGCACTTACACTCAATCAGCACAGAAGGAATGAACAGACAGACATAGGCTTAACTCGGGGTGAGGCGTGGAGAGGTGGGGCAGGCACACGGCCCACACTCCATCCTCACCCACGGAACCCACCCTTCCGCAGGCTGTGCAGATCAGACACCGGTCCCTAAAGACAAAACTCTCAAGAGAAACCACAGGGGCCAAGGTTCATCAGCCCCCTTGTCTGGAACCGCCCTCCCAAGCCAGGCCATCTTGCAAGCCACGGCCAAGCATCCCTTCCTGTGTCATGACAGACGTCAGCACCCTCCTGAGTTACATGGCTGAGCACTCTATCCCTATCCAGCCCTGCATTCAACTGGCCAGGATCATCCCACTGTATCCATCTCAGTTCAAGGTTCTTGACCTTTTCCCATTGCCTCAGGCCCAGCCAGTCCGTAAGATACCAATTCGCTGACGGTTTCCTTTAAAGAATCGTTAGTGAGTCAATAGCGCGTTCTCAGAGAAGGGAGACAAGACAGACTCTCCTTGAGATGACTCAAACGGCCCATATCAGCACCCACTGACCATCTGGACAAATCAATCCCCTCCCAGGAAATGACAGAGCCAGGCAAAACACTACCCCCACCCCAGCAAGGCTGTTTACAACAGACAACTCAACACACACTCTGGGAAGCAGCATGAAGACACGCGGCCCCGGGCACGAGAAGAACAAACGCGCCGGGTGGAGGCCGGCGGCGGAGTGCAGTTCCTGGCCAGCAGCCTGTTGCCTGACTGCCCCTCTGACCACAGCTCCAGGCTGCTCCCCTGAAAGGCCCCAGAGACACAGTACGACACTCTGCCTCCCTATGTACTAACCACAGCTTGTGTGCCAGGCTCTGTGCTAGGCCCAGTGGATACATGAGTGACCAAGGGACCCACCAACCAGGCCCTCCGGTCTGGACGGGAGCAGCCAGCAGGAGGGAAGGGATGGTCCTTCTCTCTCTCCTGCCCTGGGCAATAGAACTTTCTGTTCCATTCTAGATACCCAGTCTTAAAGATTTATTTATTTATTTATTTTAGAGGGTGGAGAAGAGGTGCAGAGGGAAAGAGAGAATCTCAAGCAGACTCCCCACTGAGTGCCGAGCCCAACACGGGGCTTGATCCCGGGATCCTGAGATCATGACCAGAGCCAAAGCCAAGAGTCAGATGCTTAGCCGACTGAGCCACCCAGGTACTCCCCAGATACCAAATCTTTTTTTTTTTTTAAGATTTTATTTATTTGACAGAGAGAGAGGGACAGAAAGGGAACACAAGCAGGGGCAGAGGAAAAGGGAGAAGCAGGCTTCCTGCAGAGCAAGGAGCCCAATGCGGGGCTTGATCCCAGGATCCCGGGATCGTGACCTGAGCTGAAGGCAGATGCTCAATGATTGAGCCATCCAGGCCCAAACCGCCACCCCCCCCCACCCGCAGATACCAAATCTTAAATGGACTAGGAACAAATGCACAAAATCAGGAGCAACGGGGAGATGAAATGAGCATCGTACTGGAGCCTGAGGCCTGGAGAAAAGACATTAGGGTCACTCTGTTCATATAAGGGGCAC